ACTGCAGCATATAATAAAGTATCCACTTAAGGAGCCATGTCTAGCTGTTTACATCTGTCAAACTGCTGAAACTGCAGTTGTAAAAGAATGCTTTTGATAATGACAGTGGAACTATGATTAGTATGATCTGTGTTATTCAAGCAAAAGAAGTGCCAGAAAAGGCTGTCTCCACGCACAAAATTACTGACCCAAGATGTCAGTGGTGCAATAGTACAACATTAGCACATTTCTTAAGTGTAGTGGCAAAGAACTACTTAGTCAAAATGTACTTCCCTAAAGAAAAGCTCAGCTAATTGACCAGCGGTGCAAAGATGCCTGCAATTTTACTGATGGGGCTGACACATTGTTTATGGAATTCAAGCTCAAGAGATTAATATGCGTTAGAACAGCAAAGAAAATAGAAGAGTGGATTCACTGGGTCATTTCGCTAGAGTTGAAAAGAAAAATGGTGACCTGAGGCTGTGTATTGACCCAAAAAAATGTGAACAAATAGACAAAGAGGGAGTATTTCCATTTACTAACTAAAACAGACGCAGGCAGTACTTGAGTAAAATTATTTTCAAAGCTAGATACATCTGCAGGCTTTTACCAGATACCTCTAAGTGAGGAGACTGCAGAAGCTATGAACTTTCAATGCACCATTTGTCCGTCCCGATTTCAAAGGGGTCACATCTGTCACTAGAGCCTGAGCCAGTCCACAGAACACAAAACAGTACAACTGCTTGAAGGGCTGAACACTGTGAAACTGTTTTGCCAGGGTACTGAGCCTGTAAGGGAGGCTGAATAAAATATTAAGGACTCAGGCCTGCAAGAGCAAGTCAGGACAAGAGTTTGAAGGAGACAAAGGCCAATAAGTTACTGCACACTACTGTGAAGGACAGAGCACTCAAATTTCAGTCAAACATCTAGAATTAACATCCACTTGTCCTATAGCATCATAGGGTACTACTTGTATTTGTATTACTGTAGGATTCAGATATTAAAAAGAACTAAAAAGAAACGACAGGACAAAATGGCCAAGGAAAGATCAAAAGCTAGCAGACCAACCAACCAACAGATGATCACAGTGAACAAGAGACAAGAGAAATAAGGACATTACTGATAAAAACTCATTGCAAGACAGTGATATTCCTGACTGACGAGGCAGCATCTGATTAAAATCTCGAGATTTTGAACTTCAGTTTACTTATCTATCTCCAGACTAGTTGCCTTAAAAAAGACACAACTCTAACCACAACTATGACCAACAGCTCTGAGACACTGTAGACGAGCCTTACTTTGATAACACTACCAAGGGAAGTCTGTATGCCAATACTTCTGGCAAATATACCATTATTTACAGTTTCTAGCTGTTCATTAAAGGACAGCTTTTCAGTGGTGCCGATGTACTTTTTCACCAGTAGAGGTAAAAAATGCAGAACTAAATCTCAACTCTCAATAAAATCTGTATCTTTAAATCTCAGTGAGTATAACTTGGCGATGCTTAATAACATTTAGAAATTTATGAAAGGTTAATGCCCTGCTGTTTATCAATTGATTAGGTACAAATGAAAGTTCCATTTATCACGTCATTTTGGATTTAAAAAATAGCAGAACAAAAGCAGGTAATAGACCAGCCTCTGGATGCATAACTGTGCTTGCATTTTGTACAGAGTCTACCTGAGTACCTAGAACTCCGCTAACATCACACAAATGTAACATTTGCTGAAGTTCAATGCTTTCTTCCACGTATCTACACACACACACGCTTCTCAACAAATGAATCAATCCTCTAGCTGGACATCCTTAAACTCATGTTTAGGTGTTACTTAGGATGATTCTTCGTTTCTGATTGCTGTTATTCTGTTTTACTTCAGAGATGAGTTGAAACAGAATACAGTTCTCTATGCACTGTACAATGAAATAGATCTATATGCTTGCCTTCTCTTTATTTGTGCTGAAATTCAAGAAAAGAATTAAAAATATCTAACCTTGAACCCATGAATTGTTCCTATTGACTACAAAGAGGCTTAAGCACATGCATTAGCACTTTGCTGAAAAGAGGTCATTTCCTGAAAGGAATATATATACACTTAGGATTTGCTTATGTAAATATGATTTCACACTCATACTCTCCACCGAGGGAACAGCACCCAATAATTGGTATGTAAAGCACGTGCATGCACCTATATGCAAGAGCACTTTTGCACACTGACTTTTTATACATCCTGGTCTAACTAGAGGCATGGCTTAAATGAAATGCCAAGCTTCTTTCTTGAGATTGAATGAATTAACATTATTAGCTTGATAATAACCACAGCATAATGACACACTGAGGCCTAAGGCAACATTTCAGGAGAATTTTCTTAGAAATTCAGGCCTGATAGGAGATGCTAATGAGTTCAGAGAAGTAAATATAGCTCTTTAAATAGCAAATGACAACTTGTCTATAATAGTAAGTTTCTCAGCACATTCACAAACGTTTTTGCTTACGAGCTATAAAATGACTTTCATTTAGATGGACTTTGGCTCTCAAGAACAATCACTATCCTAACACACCAACAAAAAGAGTGCAAATACACAAGGGGAACGCAAATGAAACGCTTGTTAGGGCCTCACAAGGAAACCATACAAACACCTTATTTAATAAGTTTAATTAACCGGCTCTTTTCTCAACAGTACTGCGCCCAGCAATGCAGAAAGGCAAATTCTCTGTTCAGAAGCTCTGCTTTCCTTCCCTGAATTAATATTTTCTCTTTTATTCTCAAAGAACGCAGCCCAGCAAACCCCAGCAGCTGCAGCTGTTAGCGGCTGGCTGTGGCACCAATACTGACTTTTTTACAGCATGGCTGAGTCAACGTTGACCCAGGCTCCAGCAAAGAGAAATGGCTTAATGAGGTTGGGTTGTTTATAACCTCTCACTGTAGCACTTTCTGCCACCCTTACGAAGCAGCACCTACATATTTCTCTATCTGAAAATATTTTTACAAGACAGCGTCCATACATCAATGCCCAATTCTATTAAATCTAATGCAAATGCTGACTGGAGAAGACGCATTTGTAACTGTAAAAGCTGCATGGCAGAAGAGATATGGTGCCCTAGAAAGGTGCCAGGCACTCCTTAAAATTCTTAATCTCCTGCAGACTCTGAAAATGAACACAGGCTAATACAATTCTCACCTCCAGATCGCAGCATTCAAAACAAAGTCCCATAATTTACATGCTTCACATCGCACTTTCATGGCACATTGAGTCACAAGGATGTCCATTAGTTTTAATGTACTATATTAAAATGACTGGCAGTAAGAGGCTGTGCAATTTCCTGCCAAGTACTTTATTTTCTGCACCAATCTGAATGGGAAAAATATTGCCACCAATTCAGCCCTTGCTTCATTCTTAAGATACTTCTGTACACATCCATGCTGCCTCTCCAATCAGCTGCCCCAGTAAGAGGTCAGCAGGACTAGACCAAACTAAACAATGAAAAGCCTTTGATTAGTAATCTTCTTATGTCAGGCAAACAGCATCGCTAATATTAAGAGGGTAAAAAGCAAAATGATTTCTTCTTCTATTGCTAGAGACGACTACAATAGCTGGAATTGCAAACAGCTTTGCAAGTTTCCATCCCCAAAAAAGCAGAACGTGTCCACAACTAACGCAACCAGAGCAAGACCACAAGACGTGCTGAGACATGGCAATCACCTACAGCTCTGCATGGAAGCCCCTGCTTGGATCTCATGCAGTTTGCACGCCTGGGTCACTTCAGAGGTCTCCCTCTATCAAAGTGACTCTGATCACAGAAGTTCAGTAATAAGACGAAGCATCAGATCATTCCAATGACCTCTGTGCTAAAACAAACCTGCTCCTCAGCTGTCCCTGTAATCCTGATAACAATCTTCTCGTTCCCTCCAGGTAATGGCTTCTATCCGTTCTCGGGAGCTCTTACTGCACAACTCCAAATTCCAAGGGCGATGTTCCATAACCTCAGCACTATCACTGAGCTCGGTGCTCCTTAGAGCTTCCACCGCGTTCCACACGGGAACACCCATTTCCACAGAGAAAAGCCCTTTATAACCAGGCAATAACGAAGATGCGTTTGTAAACACCGCGAAAAGGAAGGAAACTTTCCGCTTCTCGTTTCAGTCGTGCAAGCTCGCAAGGTTCGCTCCCATTCATACAAACACGAGCGCAGAAATAAGAGGATGGAAGGGAGGGGGGGGGGAAGGCGTAAGACAACACAGAAAGGATGTGAAGAGGAAAAGAAGAGACACGGGGATGGGGGGGAGAAGGAGAAAGGTTTAACGCCGCTGCGGGGAAAACGAGCGGCCATCCCGAGGAGCTGCGAACCAGCGCAGCCCGAGCGCGATCAACTGGTGCTGCGCTCCCCGCTTACCTCCGCACAGCAGCGCCCCGAGCAGCAGCCCGACAGCCTGCGGGCAGCGCGGCCCTCCGCCGCCGGCGGCCCCCGCCATGCCGAGGAGATGGGGCCACGTCCCGGGAGCGGCGCCGGGAGCCTCCGCCGCCGCCCGGTCAGCCCTCCCTGCGGGCCATCGCCGAGCGCTCCTCGCTCCCGGTGCCGCTCAGCCCCGCGCCGGGCTCCCGTCCATTCCGCCGCGCTCCGTCCCTCAGCCCTCCGCGCTCCGCCCGAGCGGCGGCGGGCCGGGGCGGGGGGGGCACAGCGCCGGGGGAAGCCTGGGCTGACAGAACCGCGCCGCGCTCTCCGAGCAAAACTTTTCCAGCAGAGGACGAGGGAGATCCCGGAGCCGGATTCCCCGGCTGCTCACCGCGGTCGCCTTTCGCCGCGGCTGCGGCTGGCTCCGCTTCCCGTGCCTTTATGTGGGGGCCGGCGGCAGACGCGCGCACACGGACTTTTCCCTCCGAGGAGGAGGGGAGAAAAGCCCCAGCGGGGAGCGGAGGCGGCAACCTGCGGGCGGCGGGCGCCAATCAGGGGAATCGCTCCCGGACCCACGCGCGGCCGGGCCGCCCGCCCCCCACACCCGCGCGGGGACTCCCGCAGCGCGGCGACCGTTGGGCTCGCGCCGGGCATCACCTGCGCCCACCCCCCTCAGCGCCCGGCGCGGGACCCTGAGAGGGTCCCCCTCAGCGGTCCCTTCGCGCTGAGAGACGAGGGGAAAGTGGCGATGCGGTCGCTCAGAGCACCGAGATTGAGAAAGAATTAGGCAAACTGACGTGGCTGGAGAGGGAAACGGGAATGAGGGCATAACTGGCCCTGCAGAGCTCAGAAAGCTCCCTCAGAAACAAGGGCACAGCATTTCACCGCCTCGGTCCTTCAGTCCAGCTCTCTGAACTCCTGGTATAAAGTGATGCGTATTGAAAGTACCAAACCAAAAGAGCATCACTAAAGCAGGGAAGTTTACTGCACATGAATGCTTCGATCCAGAGAGGGCAAGAGAAATGTGAGACAGGATTTAATCATGTCAGTCCCGTGCTTCAGCAGCACAGCCCTCAGGTGAGCAGCTCACACCAGGACTTTGCTCATCTCCAGCCCAGTCCTTCCCACCTTGCCCTCTGCTTTCATTTTCATCTGCGCTTTTAAGTCCTATCTTCTAGCCATAACTCTTTAACTTGATGCTTTCAGTTGGGTGCTCTGACTAGTTTCTCCACTGCTAATTTACTCATAGTAGGAAAATAAGTAACTGCTCCCCAACTCCATTCCCCAAAACCTCTGGAAACCTTCTGTTTTTACCATGAAAAATGAGGGTCTCATCCCTCTGGAAGCAGGCACAGCCTGTCCCCCTGTGACATCAATGCAGTTCTCTGGCCAGGTAACGAAACAGCAGGCAAGGCTGATTACATACTTCACTAAGTAAAATGATTAAAGTATATCCATGCTGATTCCATATGGAATATTGTTTATGCAAGATATTATTCATGGTTTGATGAGCCAAGCCAAAAAAATCTGATTTAAAATAGGGATTTCTGATGTGGAACTGCAAAGAACTTTGTCAGGAGAGGCTTCATACTGTTATGGTTTACGTGATTCCATTGTCTGTAGCAGCTACTCCAAACATGGGAAAAAATAAGCAGAAAGAATTGGATATGGATGCAATTCTGAGGTAATTTTTTCCACAAGAACATGGAGAAACATTTCTAAGTGAAAAGAACAGTGTAACAGCTATAGTCTCTTCTGCTTGATTATGAATTCTGCACTACAAATACTTGTTAAAGAGTCTAAATGTAAGAATCCAGTGGTCAACAGTAGAACACATCAGCTAACACAAGTATGTCCTACCCACGCTTAAATATGTACATGTAGTCTGTGTTTAAACTGCTTATATTTGACTAGATGAACTTTAGAGGTCTCTTCCAACTCAAATCATCCTATGATTCCATGTGTAAGGGCATTACAGTCAAGACAAAAGCCTTTACAAGGCAAATTTTACCAGGAGACCAAAAACGATGTTACCATCATTCATAAAAAATAAACAAAACAATATTTAAGCTGTGAAGAAAACATCACTAAAAAGTTACCTAGAGAGAACATGAGGTTATTCAGAAACATTGACACATAGGGTTATGTCTTACGTATCAAATCCAAACTGAAATGCATATTCCATTATTTGAATAAAATGCTCTGAAGAAAGCTTTGAAAGATGTATGTACAATTCATTCGCAGATACTTTCATGAATAAGTAGTCATAATGGGATGGCAAAAATGTAGAGAAGTTTGAACAGAACCCTTTTTTCTGCAGCTATTGTTCTTTTGAAGTTTGATTTCCCATCATTAGTCAGGACTATCCATAGAAGCTATGCCTAAAACAATTAGTTTAGGCCAGTATCTACAAGGGAAACCAAAGGAGTTACATACAAAAATCACAGTCAAAAGTTGAACCTCCTATCTTAATTTATTTCATTTCCCATGTGAAAATAAGTGACGCTGTGAAAAATTTAAAGAACAAAGCAATTAAAAACAAGCACAAAGACAGAAGCAAAGAGTCTACATTGGAGTCCTGAAAATGGAAACTGTAATAAATTAAAAAAGGGAATTGCAATTACTGTTCATGCAATCCAACTTATGCCTCTAAACACGCAAGCAAGGGTATTTGGTATATGTTAAATTATATCTAATCTTAAGTCTAGATTTTGTTACCTGCTGTTCCAGAATTATATATTGAAAGTAAGATTCTGACGTTTCATTCATGTTGATTATTATGCTACTCAGATTATCCTGTTTAAGTCAAGGAGGTTAATCTGCAAAAACTATGTAAAATTAATGGATATGAATGGGATATGAATGTAGTCCTAAGGGTTCAATTCTATTCTCAACAAAGTTTATGGAAATTTAACCCCTGAGCCCAGGTTTTACCTTTTAAAAGGTTATTCATGTGAGTGAGGAGAAATGGTTAGGTAGCTTTGTTTCTGGTGATGTTTGCCATTAGGGTGACCCCTAGACTTCAGGGCATCATAGTATGATTTGTCAATGATGATGGATATAGAGAATGAAATGCATGAAATTTGTTCTGAGTCATATGCAACTTAGTTTCACCAAGATTGTGACAATCACTTTGATTTTTATTTGTAGTAAATATCCCATCAGCAAACACCTTTAAAGTAATTACATAACTTGATTTCTATATGTGAGGACATACTCTGTAGGCAACTGAACACCAGCTGTAATAGCAGTCAGTTTTTTAATTTGTTATTATTCTGTTTGAGGAAAAAACTTAACCTGTATCTTATGTTAAGTATAGAGATATGTAACAAACATCCTAAAATGGAGAATAGTTGAAGAACAAGATTTTGCATGTTTTTTTCTTCATGAGAAAAAAAATGTTTATTTCAGGTCAAACTGGCCATTTTTTGTGCTACATAGATTTTCAACAACAATAGACTTTCATAGCAATTGAACAGATCCATACAAAAGGAAAGGCATTACAACAAATATGTGACAACAGAAAGACTAGCACAAAAGAAAAGTACAGTAAAGGAAGGGAAGATGATTGCTCACCCACATCAGAAGATTCTAGGTTAGCAGGGAAAGCTTCACCAAGAACAGGTCTCCAGAAAGAAATCCTTCCCTAATGGTTGGCCCTTAAATGAGGTCTAAGAGAGGTGCAGCCAGGCTCCACCACCTCCTGTCTCACAAGTGAATTGCCTTCACTTGTGCTCCCAGGCTGATCAGGTCCTTTCCTCAGTCAGTGGTTCAGGCCGGGACTCAACATTTCCCATACAACTTCCAACATCATAATTGTGTCGACCAACTGTAAGAGTGGGCTACAAGCAAAAGTGTGTCAGAAGGAATAATCAAATAGAATGTTAGAAAACAGATGTTAAGGTTGTGAAGTTGCCAGTAGTTTAGCACTTGTGACATAACAGGCATTATAGTCTGCAGTCTTGATTTTAATCAGTTTCTAATGAAAACAAGTTTTTGACAGCTACTCTGTGATTTAGGCAGAGAACAGAGGTTGTCCTTGATATATGTGAGTGGTTTTGGATGCGATCATTTAGCGCTGTGTCTACTGCTCAAACATCCATTTAACTTGTTCTCCATTTTAGTTAGCTCCGTCTTGTTATCCTTGGCACTTTATCATACATACAACTCAATCAGTGTGACCTTAAACAAGTCACCTACTCTATTCCTCAGTGTCTTTACATGTTTAATGGCATAATGATACAAAATTGTTTTCCAAAGTGCATGGGCATATGGAATATAATGGAATATATATATGGAACATGTATATATGAATACGTATGTATTCGAGTATTCCTTATAACCAGTAGCACTATCTAAATAAATAGATTTCTAATTTCATATATGCCTCTCTGCTCTGTAATTGTTTTTAGTTATTCATAACTGCACTTTTCTTAATTCATTTTATTAGATGTAGGAATCCTCTTAAAATCCTTTGAATATTCTCATGGCCAATCCTTACCAAAATTGTATTCTGCATGGCACCACGTGTATCAGATTCTAACAGGAAGGGTAGAACACTGAAAATTTTGCCAAAGTCTGGAGGTCACATAAAGGAGTAGAAGGAAAAATTGTTCAGGATTCAGTTTTATGTCATCCTTGTACTTTGGTGCGTTATCATCTCTTTTTGTCTTCCATGCTTTGTTTGCACTTAGGTGTATTGCCTCTTAAACTGATTTTATTATACTTCAGTGTCGCTATTTCTCTTTGAAATAGAGCTATAACTTGAATCTCTCCAGTTATTCATTTGTGTTTAATGCAGGTAGCATGTCATAGGTTTCTGTTCAGTACATCTGAAAGGTATCTTTCTATCACAGTGCCTAGGATTGTTATCTTTTTGATTGACAATACTTTTAACAAGACCTTTGGAACACATGGTATCATTGCTTCCAAACAACTCACCTTACCTAGAAATCTTTCCTAGTTATACTTGTGATTGTAAGGAACATACTCAATATACATCCATTTCATGAGTCAACAATTTGAAGTGTCACAAGTGTGTACTTATAATGGAAGTGCAATGGAAATGAGGTGAATTTTGGAAAAAAAAAAAAAAATGGAGGCAAAATGGCAGGTTTTTAACAATTGTTTTAGGCATTTACTGTCAATTTCTATTTACAGATTCTTTAATAATACCAAGGAAGTATCTTTCATGTGATTCCTGACTGAATAAGAAGCTTGAAGGAAACGGGTGCAACAACAAGGTAAAGGGTTTATTGATTAATATGGGGCATATCTTAAAAATGATATGAGATCTCTGAATCTTTCAACATTTTAAATTCTGGTTGTAGAGACCTTGCACATGGCATCAGCTGGATGCAAGCATGTTTTTCTGCATTTACATAAAAAAATGCTAATACTAAAACTTTTCTACAATTTTTAATAATTGAAGTTTATGAATATGATTTTTTTTCATGAGTGTACTAAGAATCTAGTGGATGGAGTCATACCAAAAGTACACCTAGCTTGTTTCTTGTGGTGGCCAAAACCAGACTTCTTGGGAAGAGAACAAGAGTGCAAGTGCACAGTGATAGTCCTTTCACGGGCTCAGAAGACTTGAGGCTCTAAAATTTTCTAAGCCAACTCCTCTGTTATTATCCTTGATGGCTTTCACTCCTCTAATTTATTCCAGATTTTTTTTTTTTTTGACACCATCTACATTTTAGCATCCACAAATCTGGTATCAGTTCTAAGGCAATTACCAGTGTTTTTATACATAAGTAATGATGCTGTGTTCCTTAATTTTTGAGTTCAGAATCTGTCAAAAATATGTTACTACATATATAATATATATAACTATTTTTTTCAAGATGTCCATATGTTTAGTAAATATGCAAGTTAGCAGTAACATTTGGGTCTGTTAGCTTCCAGTGTTGTAAAATACAAATGCAACTTCATCATTTGTGGAAAGCAAATGTAAGCAGAATTTGAATAGTGCCATGACTAAGTACTTTCATACAGGAAACAATTGCTGAATTCCATGGAAGCATTTTTTTATCTTCTCTTTATTTCTTTGTTTCATCCAATTACTACAGCTTACCGTAAACTTAGACTGCAAACTCTTGGGAGGGGCCATGAGGAAATTATTATGATCTCTAGATTCTATTGCAGTAGAAGTTTGTAAACCAGTGATGCCTGTGTCTTATATAGTGTTTATCATGTGTGCATATTGTAACATTTTCATAAATGAGTAACAGTTGGAGAAATTCATCCACGAGTGTTTCTGATCCCACTTATTACTTTTCTTATCCTTTTCTCATTTTTTTTTTAATATTTAATGTTATGTAAATGATTATGTGTTGACAACCTTAAAATATATGAGGGCTGCTCAGAAAGTGATTCCTCCCCTCTGCTGCTGTATGTTGTATGGCAGCAAAATATAATGGAATGTTAGTGGGAAATGCCATATCACCAACATCCACCTGTGCTATGATTGGCCAACATAATAAATAGGAAGCATTACTTTTGGAGCAGCATTCATATATAATGAATGAAATGGTTTTTATGCAGTGTTAATTACTTGTTTTAATATAGAAGAACAAATGTAGAAGGATACTTGTCAAGAAACAAGTATTCAGTCAGATATGATAAATTTCAAAGGTGTTTGTAACTTTACTACAGCATATTTTGATTTGCTTGCAGTTAAGACTTTGAAGTACTTAAGACACATCTGTTGCAGGTTGTATTCTGGAAAAGGAAAGCTACTTCAAAGTACTATGCCCAGGATAAATTGCTAATCCAGGTGAACTCCTTGACACTTAGCTTGAGTTCAGCCATTACTTTAAACACATGGCAGCAATTATTAGACTCCAAAGCTGTATTATATGTACCAATTCTGTTGTGACTGTACATGGAAATGGTCATATTAATGCCATATTCTCTGAAAATTGTGATGGAGGGGGCAGCATCTGAGCAGGGGTTAAAATAAATATCTATTAAAGTGGATTATTTTTAAGCTCCAAATTCTTCTGAGGGAGTTTTGTTCTAAGGTTTTGACTGATGGGGAGTTTTCCAGCTTGGTATTTGCTTTGCCAAAGGCAAGTGATTGCTTTTTCAGTGCAAGCAGTGCCCCCTCGTGCATCAGCTAGGGCTTTCTGCATCATGCCAGAGGGAAAGCAGGAGCAGAAGGTAGGCTTGTTATTTTTTCCAATGCATCTGGTATACATGAGCAATATGACAGTGCCAAGTCTTGTTAATGTGGCGTACAGCTAAACAATATTCGGATCGTTCTCTGATCATGATGGATTATTTGGTCATAACAAGCATATTATCCTTGCTTAATGAATGGAACATGCCATTTCTTCCTAGCTATTGTCAGTCTTTGATGCAGTACAATTAGCAGACGTTCTCATTTAATTACCTAGTATAATAGGACCTGAAATGCTGAAATTTAATCTTTCATATAACTACTGCTTTTCAACAGTCCCCTAGGCTAATGAGGATAATGTTCTAACCTAATGCATATTATTTATAAAGAAAACATTGCAAAACAAGTGCAATTTTACAGGAGAATAATGCTTTAAACTGCTTTAGGAAATGCTTCGATTACTGTGGCCAACAACTGCTGTAAACTGGTAACGATACAATTAAATAGTTCTAGTTAAAAATTAATAATATCCTAGCCAGGAGAAGGAGATTGTTTGTTACTTCTATCTCTTTTTCCAAATCAAATGAAGGAAAAATATATAGTGACATTCCAAATGCAGCCATCTTATTAATAAGAATGCGGACTCTTACCTTTGATAGGAAAAAATTGTTTTTAAAAAAACAAAGAATTAGAGAAACGAATTGCAAAAACAACTTAAGTGTCTAAAAGATGAAAATAGGTGGCTAGACACATTTTGAGGAATATATACAATTCTGCAAACTACTGGGGCTCCTTAGCAATTCTGAATATCCCACAGACCTTCTTCTATAGTATGACTTGTCTGTTTATTGTCAAGAACTTCTTACAAGTGCCTAAATCATATCATAAAATGAAATGATTGTAGAATGAAACCATTCTTTGTCTCTGGAAAACATTTCAACATTTCAAAATTAACTTCACTATACTACATAGGTCTCTCTGACAGCAGTGCCTCCTATTTTTTTCCATGGAAGATACAACAGATACCAAGAGCACAATAACACTATTTAATAAAGCAAATTCTCAGCTACAAAATGCTATTTTTCAACATAGTCACCACCTTTAGCTGTGCATTTTCACCAGCAATGGACAAGCATGCCATGCTCATGAAAAATCTGCATGGCTGTCCATTCTTGGCTTGTCTTTCACGTTGTTGCCACTGCTGAGACACCCCACCCACTGCCTTGTTGTGCTCACATCCACTGTTTGGTCTTCATAAATGTTCAGCAAGTGTCAACTGATGTTAGCAGGTGCCTTTTTCTTTTGCATGGAGGAATTCAATTAAATTCTATTGCTTTCTACAGTCTTCCATGGTAGATGTCGTTTGCCAGAAGACCCCTCTGCTGCCATCTGTCTCACAGCAACAAAATGCAACAGAACGTTGGTGGGAAGGTTCAACCTCTTTCTTATTCCCAATATCTGCCTCCGCCACTGTGGGCCAACAAAAGAAAATAGGAGGTTTTACTTTTGAAGCAACCCTCCTATGTTGACTGTTTACCTTTTTGTTAAATATTAATTGCTTAGTAGGCATGAAATAAGCTTTTTTTTTTTTTTTTTTTCAAATAGAGTATTCTAATTCTATGTGGAAACTCTGAAAACACTTCAGATTTGTCACTCATGTTCTAGGGACTTGTGTTAGATGATCTCCAGAGCTCTGTCTTAATCTAATTTACTCTGATTTTTATCTCATAGTTTATGTGAGCCTGAAATTGATCAAGTAACTTCAGAAGAACTTCTTTTTAATGAAAAGATAAAAAAAAAAAAAAGCGCTCTCGGGTGATAATTGTCCGTGCTGAGCTCTCAGTTAATTCATCAGGCATAGGTTTCATTGGGTTATGGCTCTGCTCACACTTCTTACTGCCCAAGTTCTCTTGTTTTGAAAGATTTGAGAAAAAGAAATCTTCAAAAGAAATTCTAGATCTCAGTTCCATTTGAGAACCAAATTAAAAGATCTGAACTTTAGCTTCACTGTGCAACACTTTTCTACATTATAGTAAATAATAGTTTGTGCTATCAGATACTGCAGAGATTATTGTGAAGCCTACAGATACAGCAGGATAGTTACACATTTCAGATGAAGAAACAATGGGAGAAGAGTGTGATTACTTTTAATTTTCTCAGTTTCATTCTTCAGCCTTAGCAATTGGCACCACCAGACAGAATTCCCCTAACACTCAGTTCTGTGCTTACTGCCCCTCCAATAAAATGATTAAAATCTAATAAGGGCAAATACTTTCCTACTTGGCTGACAAAATAAATCAGTTCTGTGAAGATTTCAAAAAAGAACCACAATCTGTGCAAGGGCAGCTGTGGGCAGGCAGATGAAAAGACAGGCAGAGAAGAAGGGAAGAGGAAACAGGTATGTACCTTTCTGGTACAGAAAGTTGTTAGGCAGCATTAGGCGTACTGTGGAACTATACCCTCTAGCCCAAGGAAAGGTCAAATCTGTCCTTGCTGAAACAATTATAATGGGATAAGATGATCACCAGTTATCATCAGTTCACAGATTCAGAAAGAAAGCAAATTAGTTATGTTGATTTCATTTTTTTAGTTCTTTTTCTAATTCCAGAAATTGAGAGAAATGTTTTCATCTTTCATAATTAGATTCAGAATGGTAGCTAAAAGGAGTTTCCTCTTAGGAGAGATCTTTTTACTGTGTGTTCCAGGTGTCTGTTCATTTCTCTTTTGATCATGTGAATGCTTCACTTCAACTTTCATAAACAAACATTTGCCTTAGATAAAGAAGCCGTCAAGTATTATGAAAACACATTCCACCACTACAGAGCACCGTGAATGGTCAGATTTACAAGGTCAAGCATTCTTGCCAAAGACCAAAGAGATATATTATTTAAACAGAGAAACAAAGGGCGAAAGGGCTTAGCCCATTGAAAAGGCTATTGTCTCTCTTTGAAAGGACTGTGGAGTTTAGTTTATGAAACAGAAATCAGATCAAACTGAGACTGAGTCAGATGGCTTTGCCACCTGACAAGGTTAGGTGATCTGTCTGACCTTGTTAGGAACCCAGAGTGAGTGGTGAATAATGCCCACTTGCCACTTGCTCCTAAAGGGTTTTTAAAC